CCCAGCCAGTTCCTTTAGGACTCTAGGGTGAAGATCATCCGGGCTGGCTGACTTAAAAACGTCCCCTGCAGGGCCCAGGTTGACTGGGCCCTGCAGGGGAAGGGACTGTGGCCAGGCCCCAACCCAACTCTAGGGTGGTGGTGGCCTGGCCCCAAGGGGGTGGAAGAGGGTGGCCCAGCTTCAAGAATCCAAAAACAGGGTGGGAGGAGAGGGGTGCTCTAACCAGCTGCACAGGGCTTGAGGTTTTGGCAGCAGGGAGGATGGCTGTATTAATGTTCACTGCTCCCCCACCATCACATTTCTGGATCTGTGGGGAGCCCCATGGGCCAAATGAGTTGGCTTCATGGGCCACTATTGGCCTGTGGGCCAGAGGTTGAGCACCCCAATCTAGAAATAAACGTTTTTCCAGCCAAATAATGTTAGTTAAGGGTATGGTTTTTGTTCTCTCAGTTTTCTAGCAGATGCAGTTAAATGAAAATATAGTTGTCTTACACCAAAATATAGCCTGTACTAGTTCCCAGATCAAACTAATACAAGTTTTTTTTATACCAGTATAACCACATCCACATTAGAGGGGTTTGCCACTTATGCTGGCAATGTGTGTAAGATCTGTGCTGCGAAGCCCAGTTCCCTTTATGAGAAATGTTATAGTATGGGTGCTAAGTAAACCTTTCCTTTCTTTTTAATTCCATTTTTCTTTGTTTTTAACATATCTTGTTTTGATTCAGATTCCTAGGGTCTGAGTAATTTTCCCACAGAGAGGAAAATCTCATGACTTTTCTGAGAAGCTGAAGGATAGAGCTTCTGGAGTTACACATCCCTTACCCAGCAAGCTGGCTTAGACAAAGAGCTCCTCTTACAAAGAACTGTGTTGCCACTGAGTTGTGGCTGAAATACATGGAGCTGGTCACATACACACTCCTCATTGCTTCAGACACTCTCACAGATTCAGTCCTTCTCACCCAGGAGGGAGGATATGACAATACAACTTCTGAGCAGAGAGTGTCACTACATGACATTCAGTAATACAAACTTTCATCCCAATGAAGGAAACACTGGATTGTTGTATTCCCAACTCCAGACTCGCCATATGAAACAAGTTGCCTGCAAACCTAAATTCTTCATAGGACGCCACCTTCTGGTGAACAGCTCGGAATTTGGCATCATTTTCTCTCCAGTACTTTTCATCAGCAGCAACAGCAGCCTGTAGTTCTCTCTCCAAAGCACAGAAATCTATTGCTCCAGATTTGTCCATGATGATAACCTGAGAGCAAAACATAATTAATGGCATGCACAGATCAAACAATTATACCAGGTTACTGTAACTCATGCTGAACCAACATAACTATTTCATCTGTCCACTCCAGTATCAGTGTAACTTTACACCTCTTTCATTCAGTTTAATTCTATTTATGCTGGGATAAGAATAAACAGATGAAGCGGTTATAAGTGGTAAGTCCCTTTATACACTATTTTAATATAGTGTATAACTGCATCTCTGATTTAGTTACTTTATAATGTCTGGCCTGTGCGCTAGATCCAGCCCATCAAACTGTTCCATCTGGCTTGCTAGTAGTCCAGCAGGCTACCAGATGTTGGCAGCATAGCTAGGAGGTGTGGTGTGCATACAGCCCTTGCTTGCCTCATGCTCATCCCTGGACCCATGCTGTCACCAGCCCCCAAACCAACTTGCCTCATCCCCTGCCATACACACTGTTGGCTCTGCAGATCTAGCCCAAGAGACCTTAGGGTCTAAATCTGGCCTAAGGTGCAGGGTGAGTTTGACACCGCTTATCTACAAGGTGAAATTCTACCCTGCCTTCTGCCTGACTTCAGACTAACATGACTAATGACCTCTATCTGTCCACAAGCCAGAGTTACTTGGGGTGCATGAGCACCATGCAAGGAGAATATTCCTTGCTTTTTCACATCCTGTTCATTACTTGAACTCTTGTTAGACTCGCTGCAAGTATCTAAGTATTAGAGGTGCACCAATACATTTGTCCCATATTGGATCAGCACCAATATAAGGCAAATTGAGTGTATCGGCTTTTTTTGGCTGATGTGGCCAATAAATGCCCTGTGCATGCGCGAAGTTGTAGCACAGCATGCCAAGCTGCGCTCCTTGCTGCCTGCAGTGTGGAGAGTAGACGGGTCTGGCTGGTAAATCTATTGTGAGGATGTGGGGGTGGGGGGCAGATCGAGGCCCCCGCGGTGAGGGAGGGAGTGGGGCTAGGGCAGAGGCAGGCACTGCCCAGCAGAGGCAGGGTGCAAGACTGAGCTGCGCACAGGGAAAGGGGGTGGCTCCTGCTGCTGTGTGCAACCCCAGGGGAGACATGGGGGGGGTGTGCCCCTGGATCTGTGCGCAGGCCAAGGACAGGCTGCTACTGCGGGCTGGGGCCAAGGCAACACCGGGTTCTTCCCAGGTTGGGGTGGGGCTGGGCCAGGCTGTGCTTGGGGTGGATGGCAGCAGTGCTGGGAGGGGAGGTTGGGAGGGCTATGGCAAATTTTGGGGTGGCTGAAGCCCCGCCCCTAGCCCCACTGCCCACCCCAAGCAC